AGAACCAATTTGATGGCACCTAGCAACCAAAAAATGTGATAAATATAGTTGCAAACTGCTTAGATGTGAAACTAAAAAACAAACAAAAACCCTCACTACCATCAAGTCAATTCTGTTCCTGTAATTTGAAATCAAAGGGAAAGAATATGCCGAACATTTTTATAGCTAAAAACTGAAGGAAAAAAATCCAAACCTTGATGGTACTATGGGCAAACTATGAAACTATCCAGGCAACATCAAGAGAAGTTGAGAGTGGGGCAGAGATGGAAAGAATATACAGTCACTGATCCAAGAAGACTTGGTTGAGGTTCAACTAAACCATAAGCTCTGGGCATCAGGATTAGATGAAGATTCGTTAACAACCTGTGATGTGCACGCGATACAACCTTGCTTGCTGAAAATTTCACTAAGAGGTCTTGAAGTAGTCAAGTCATCTTCATCAGTGTGAAGATTCGAGAACACAGCCTTCCACATGCGTTGCACCTTAACATAAAACGAAAATCGTCACCACTGAATCAATAAGCAATATTATGATCGACAGAGAGAGATCGAAGCTGTCCAGAATTTCCTTCCACTTGGATCTATAATCAGTGTTCCTAGTAGCAGTCAGGACATCAAACGACAGATCACATTGAGCACATCTTTGGCAAAAGACCTTTTTTTGATTATTTATTTAGGTGTTGGACTGCCAGGTCGATGGTTCAAACCTACCAGCCGCTCTGCAGGATAATGATGAGGCTGGCTGCTTCTTGCAGTCTCAGAAACTCTAAGGAGCAGTTCTATGCTGGCAGTGGGTGTAGCTATGCACTCAATATCATGCAATATATTGAGCAAATCTTTCACCTTTTACTGCCTTCAGCCGTTGCGAAGTTAGTACAAACAGATTTGAAAAGTGCAGTATCAGGAAGAAGAAGAGCAAAAAACTGTACAGTGTTCTTACTATTGAGTCTCTGCCTCCCCCACTCCTCTGCTTAGGTGTTATCATTTAGCTTTTACCATAGAGCACATCACTGGAAAGCTGAGCCCCATGGCTTAGTTGCTTCTTTAGCTTCTGATTCTATGAACTGCCTTAGTTGGGTAATTCTCTTACTGCCTCTAACTGGGCCGGTGGGGAAGCACTGGGAGGCAAGGAGGCAAGGAGAGACATCCATTTCCTTGGCCGACACTGCAGCTCTCATTGTTTAGGACTGGTTCAGGGCCCAAGGGCACTTAGTTTATTGAGATGGGCTCTGTTCCAGTGGAGCCTTGAGCACCATACAGGATAAAAAGCACTCAACTAACACAGAGATTGATCAGGCAGAATTTAAGGCAGCATCAGCTTGTGGGGAGCATGGTTGTGTTTCGAACCAGCCTCTTTGCACTCACAGACAAATGGACTGGTCTCACAAGGAACTCCGAGTGGTGTTGTGGTGAGGTGGAGGTGTCTTAGAATGTCTCTCCCTTCTGAGGTTTCAGGATAGCCCATGTCAGGACCATCAGGACTCCGGCAGGCAGAGGGCTCAACTCTATGATCTCACAACATCCCATCTCACAGCATCTGCACATGTCTATTGTATACATGAGTTTTTATTATGCACATGCATTGCTTTTGGGGAGGTGGAGACATTATACCTTCTTACACTGTGAACTCCAAAAGAACAACCTTGGTCTAAGGAAAAAAAACAGAGGGTAGACTTCAACTCTTGCCATTGAGTTATTTCCAACTCATAGCTACCGCACAGGACAGAGTAGAACTACCATTAGTCTTTACAGGAGTACACAGCCTCATATTTTTCCTACAGAGCGGCTGGTTTGTTTAAACTGCTAACTTTGTGATTAGCAGCCTACTGGGTAACCCAATACACCCCCAGGGCACCTAAGAGGAAAAGCAGATGAAGATAACCTGGTCAGATAGACTCCTGCTAACTACTAGCTAGTATTTATCTAGCCTTTCCCCTGGGGACCTCTTGTCTCTTGTCCTCTGGAGTCACTCATCTGGCGCTGAAAGGAAACTGTCCAGTCACGGATTATGTCACATAACCAGAGGTCCAAAGGTCCAGGGTCGACTCAGGCTCTCTCAGAAGGAAGGGACATTTTATCCTTGAACAGGGGTTGGCGTCTTTATGGAGCTACGTATTCTGCACTTGATCTTAGCCAAAAGGCCAAGAAGCGATGGAGCTGCCTATTGTGGTTTCCCATCAAATGTTTCTAGAGTTGATTTTTATGCTGATCCTTACTCCTTCAACGCTCTCCCCCATCCCTGTGTATTTTCCCAGCGGCGGCAACACACAACCAAACATCACTGATGGAGACTGAAGGTATCCTAGCTTGGAGCTAAACCAATGGTACTGCTAAGCTCAGTGCACACACGGAGGGAGAAAACAAGCAGAAACACTACCATGAGCAAGACAGCCAAGACCCAGTGAACTCTGGAGGCGATGTGGGAGGATCGGTGCATCTAAAAAGCACTGCCATTCCAAAGAGCACATTGGGGGCGACTACAACAGGCATCCCCATTGCTGGACTCAGTCACGCGACCTGAAGACTGTGTGAATACTGAAAACCCGCTCACTGCCATCGAGTCAATTCCCACTCAGAGCAGCCCTGGGGACAAAGTAAAACTGCCCCTTTGGGTTTCTAAGGCTGTACATTTTTCTTAGAATAGTCAACTAACTTTCAGTTGCCAGGCCAGACATGTTAACCATTTGCAACCATCAAAGGATTCCAGGTTCGGAATTTGAGCCACAACTTTCATTTAGTAATCTAAAGAGCTTTTGCTTATATGAGTTACATCTAATGCTACCTACAATATTCAGAAATCAAAACTGAGAAATTTAAAAATATTATTTATTCAATCTTTTAAAAATAACAGGACACAAACTCATTACATGTTAATATCAGAGCAATGGTATCATCATTTCTCATTATGATTGCCTCTGGAAAATGCCACTGTACACAGACAAAAGGTGAAGAAAGTAAAATAATATTTTAGTATTAGTATGAAAAGAATTCTGATCCCATAGATCCCCTTCCTCAAAAATAGTAATGGTAATTCAATTGGATTTTGTTCATCTTAGATAAGAGATTCCTCTTAACTGTAGTCTATCCAGAAAATATATCTTGGATGGAGAGGGTGGGAGAAGTGTGGACAAGAGAATCTGGTTTGGACTTGGTTGGAAAGAATAGCAAACAGTTTTTTAATTTGCAACTAGAGCCTACAGTGATCCCCATCATAACATGATTTAGTTAAAGTGAAACATCTTGGTCAACTTACTTGGGAAGAGATATCTTTTATGCAAGATATCAAATACCACCTGGTGCTAAATTTGTTCAGTAGGAATTGTGGGTGTGGGTGGAGAAGGTCTAATCCAACGGTTCTCAGTGTGGTCTTAGACCAGCAGCAACAGCACCACCTGGGAACTGCTTAGAAATGCATGTTCTCAGGCACCATACCAGACCTGCATACTCAGGAGCCTGGGGTGGGCCTAGCAATCTGCATTTGAACAAGCCCTCCAGGCGGTTCTGATTTGCTAAACTTTTTTGCTAATGTTTGAAGACCATTCAATGACATTTTCCATCATTCCATCTGGTCAAAATGCTCTCCCTCCTCCCTGCCACCCCTCTTCCCTCCGTCTTTCTTTCCTTCCAAAGATTAAATGTGTTGATTCCTTTCCAGTGTTCCTATGTTGCTTATTTGGAATGTTCACGTGTGCACATCATGTGTCCATCTGGAAGCATCTCATTGGTGTAGCCCAAGTTCAATGTATCAGTAATGCACAGGCAAAGTGATTGTATGTAAAACTCAGTACTTAGGACTTTGGTGTAGCCTTTTGGCCCCCAAATTAACTCTAGGAAATTCCTTTCAAATGTTGAAGCTCCCCAATTGCAAGGGCTTGGCTACTCTGTGCTAAGGGTTGCCCAGTGACATTATGTAAAGACAGTATGCTGTTCTTTACAAATTCACAATTCAAAATTGAGTAGAAGAGCCTAGTTTAAAGGACTGAACTGAGAAGAAAACAGAATTCATAGATCCATAGTTCACAGAGTCCCTACAGGATACACATTAGAAATGTCATCAGGCAAATGGGCTGGCTCACGAGAGGGTGGAGAAGGATTCATATGGAAGGCCAGTTCCACAGGATAGGAAGTGTGTGTGTGTGTGTGTGTGTGTGTGTGTCTATTTACATTAGTGCTAGGGTTTTTACTTGGGGTAGTCTGAACTAGGAAGTGAGGAGAAATTTTCATAAAGGTACTTTTCTTTGTTCTGTAGGTACAAGGGGACTTTGAAAAGTTGGTAGAAATGGAATGAAAAGATAATAAAAATTTTCCACAAACTTTTTGAAGGCCCCTCTTAGTGTGGCGAGAATGACAAACCATAAGCATTAATGAACACATAGACATGAACATTTGACTGTGAGTTCTGGATGCTCCTCTTTCCCTCCAGTGACTTGGGCATTGGAAGCAGGTAGAGCTCACTCATTGACACAACTGGCCGGCTTAGAGTTGAGGTTGCAGTCGCCAGGTGTTAATCCCAGGGCATCACAAGAGGATCTTCTTGGCTGAGTGTTGTAACTTCTTTGGCTGTGCCTTGTGCTCCATGACTTTTGTTGGCTGTTCTTGGCTTCGTATCCCTCTTGGTTTGCTAGATGATTGTTCTGCGCTTCCTCCTGTAGAGCGAGAGCAAAGTCAGGGCCATATGTGGAATGCTGCACCAAGAACAACATGGTCCCCACCCTACACCTATGTGGACAGAGCCTTCAACTTTAGTCCCAACAGACTTGTTAACTTTAAATTCCACCCCAGACTGCCACCTTTCCACATGCTGAAATCTGACTTTAAGGACTCTCCATTTCTCCAGAGGCCAGGATCGGCTGCCTGATCTTAGCCTCCGTTCTGTGGCTCTCTCATCATAATCATTCATGTCAGTGTGGATCTGAGAAAGAGCGTCAGAAACCTTATCCATTTCTCTGTCAGCCCAGCATTTAAGTTGTTATATGAGGAGGCTTCAAAAAGTGGATGGGGGCTATTTCATTATCTCCCTTTCCCACCACCCTGTAGACTCTCGTGAGTCAATATGAGCTTGTCCAACACATCCCTAACTCACTATCGATTCTGACTCATTGTGACCCGGAGGGTGAGAGCAGAACGACAGCACAGGGTTTCGGAGACTGTAAATCTTTGTGGGGACAGACCACCTCCTCTTTCTCTCCATGGTGGGTTTGAATCACTGACTTGCAGTTAATAGCCAATGGCTTAAGTTGCTGCACCAAAGCATACCATAATCAGCCCTTCCTTACCTCTCAATTGCTTAAAAAATATCCTTGGCTGGATAGGATATGGTGATCATTCAATAATTCAAATGCAGGATTTCTATTTCAACACAAGAGGGCATAATCTTATGAAATTATAGCCTAGAGGGAATGCTGGGAAAACACTGTCCAATCAAAGGACTCATTTTGAGACTTCTCTGTGAGCCTCTTCTGGAGAGAAGATTGTAATTCTGGGAGCCCTGCGGGAACACTTAGCTCAAGCAGTTATTTCCTCTGCAATATACACTCCAAGCCACTGAGCAAGCATAAGCAAACAAAAGCAACAACAAGCCACTCGCCATTAAATTGATTCTGATTCATAACCCTTTGCCCAGCCTTCCCCCCAAAACCTAACCCCCTATCATTGAGTCAATTCTGACTCATAGCGACCCTTTAGGAGAGAGTAGAATTTCCCTCTTTGGGCTTCTGAGGCAGTAAATCTCAATGAGAGCAGAAAGCCTCATCTATCTCCTACGGGATGTGTAGTGGCTTCAAACTGCTGACCCTGTGGTTAGCATCCTGGTAGGTCCATTAGTAGTTAATAGTTCAGAGCTTGCCTGATGTGCTACCGGTTCTCCACGTGACCCTATGAGACAGATAAGGGTTGGTAGGGGGTTCAAGGCTGTAATTTTTATGGCGCTCTGTTGGTGTAGTGGGTTATGGGTTATGGTGTAGGGGCAACGGGCTCCTAACCAGAAGGCCAGCAGTTCAACCACTAGCTCCCTCCTTGGGAGGCTTTCTAATACCATAAAGTTATAGTCTCCGAAACCTGCAGGGACAGTTCTACTCTGTCCTGTGGGGGCGCTGTGAGTTGGGATCAGCTGGATGGCAGTGGGTTTGGTTTTGGGGTTGAGAAGTGTTTTTTTTTTTTACAGTTTTATTGGAACTTCATCCACCTGTCATACAACTCACTAGTTCAATCATATGATGAAGAATTATATAATCATCACCACAATGAATTTTAGAACATTTTCTCTTTCTTTTTCTCCCACGGTTAAATTGCTTTTTAAATGAGTTGTGTAACAGTTGATATATGAATGGCTTGTGGTAAGAGTTGTATGAGCCCCCGATAAAATGATTTTAAAAAAATGAGTTGTGTAATCACAGTCAGTTGTAGTACTCCATCCCACATTCATTGTTTGCTCCCCTAACCCTCTCACCCTCCTTATCTCTCATCCCCACCCCTACCTCCTCTATTAACCCTCGCATCAGTTCTTTTCTCTATGCATCTACTCCTTCTGTGCTTCACAAATTGGAAAACCCAACAGAAACAATAAAAAATGAAAACAACAAAGTGGTAAGGATAAAATAATCATAACATAAAGATAAAAATACAAATAATGAGTAAGAAAGAAAATACCACCGACAGTATTTAAAAAGTCAGGAAAGACATTTTTGGGTCATGGAATAAGCAAGAAATACTTGTGCCTATAATAATTTCAGATTGGATCAAGAGGGAGGTCAACTGATCCAGTATCAAGTTCAATCCAGCATAATCAGCATTACAATGATCTCTGATAGAGACCCTGGCCTGTGGCTAGAGGGGATCTGCCATCAGTTTAATCTGATGAGCATCTCTATGGAAGCCCTGCCACACACATCTTTGTCCCGAAGCAACTGATGAGTGACCTTGGGGCTGGCAGCTGTCTGCTTGACCACTGTGAAACCCGGGTTCTTTCCCCCAAATCATTCCATCCACTGCCATGGAGTCAGTTCTAACTCAGAGGGTTTCCAAGGCTGTAAAAATGTATGGGAGCAGACAGCCTCCTATGTCTCCCTGGTGGGTTTGACCTGCTGACCTTGCTGTTAGCAATCCAACAGGGAACCAGCGATGTCACCCTGTGTGATGACGCTCAGATGGCTTAGTCCGTCCCCTTGTGCTTGAAGGTTTGGGTTCCCAAGCTGTTAAACTAAAGGAGGGTCCTTGGTGCTATTTATTAAGCCTTGTCAATGAAGGCTGGAGAAAATCCCACACCAAAAGCTCTACCACTGAGTGGATTCTAACTTACGGTGACTCTACAGGACAGTGCGGCCGTGCCACTGGGATAGCGAGGGCCTACCAAGTGCTGAGCATGAGGCAAGCCTTTTGTGTACCTATTTTGTGTAAATCATAAGAAGATAACACTTTAGCGACGCTTAGAAAATTGGGAGACTGCCAACGATGTGAATAATTCCTAAAACAGTAGCCCTGAAGTTTTCATCGCTTGCACTGCAATAATTTGCATTTCTTAATTCACACGAGGAAAATTAGTTTACTGTGCCATCGATGATCAATGGGGATTTAAGAATGAAAGCTGCTTTTGTTCTCTCTGACTGGGCTAAGTGTATCCCGATGTGGCTAGGGCTGTCTGATTGACAGTGCACTCCTTCGTGATCCCCCCACCCCCTCCCTAGCTTCATGCAGGGGGCTGTCTGCTTCCTTCCTTCCTTGCTCAGAGCTCCCTCAGAATCCAAGTTCAGGTAGGTCACCACCACTTTGTTTATTTATTTTTAGCTTCTCAATTAACAAAATGTTTACACTTTTGGGGGGAAATTTTAGGGTGAAGGTTTACAGAACAGACTATCCGTTTTACATTCGACAGTTCATTCACATTTTGTTCCAACTCAGCCACTGCCAGCCCCTCAATGTAGCATCGACTTATCCCACGCCCTCCATGTGCTTCCCGTTTGTACTTTTCTTTCCTACCTGTAAAATGGATGATCTGTTCTTTAAACTTTCATCCAATTCACAATAAAAAGGTTAAAAAAACACCCTCTCTTGATTGTTCGAATAGGTAGCTGGGATTGAGAACCCCAGTCAATGTCAAAAAGGCCACACGGGCGAGTTCGGTTCTTGATCAAGGGGATTTTCAGGTAGATGTGTGCAGAGCTGGGGTGAGGAGCACAGGACAGGATAGCTACTGCCCTTGACTTCCTTCTAGTGACATGATGGCCAGAAAGATCCTGGGCTCTCAAGGCCGGCTATGAGTCTTGATCCAGGGGCTTAATCTCTCTAAGCTAGAACTATTCCAAAAGGCATTGGGTATACATTGTAATGATGTACATAACATAAGCCTACAGCTTGGCTATAGTAAGCCATCAACAAATGTTAGTTTCCTTTGCTTCCCATTCCCCCCTTGTCTTTGGTATCTTTCTGTGACTCTGGCCCCACTTGGCCAATTCTTTCTCGACTAATCCCCAAAGAGCGAGTGGTTAGTAAGGGAATGGAGTGGACTGGGAGCAAGGAAGAGTCGGGTCCTTGCTTTCCCTACTTGTTCTTGGCAAAGTGCTGCATCCACGACATCAGACAAGGGCTTCCTTGAAGTAGCATCAGACTCACCATTTCTGCCACCAGGTGAGTCCACTCAGAAGCAGGATACTGAGCAGCAGGAAAACACAGCTGGCCACTGTCAAGAGAGAGCTCAAATCAGCAAAGGAGGGCTCTGGCCTTGGTGTTGGGGGTAGCAGGAAGCTGGGCCCCAAAAGCCACCTGGGAAAATCCCCCAGTTTCCTCATTGGGATGGAACTCTGTGGTATCTGCTTCCCTGTCCTAGCGTACAAGTCCCCCCCACAGGACTCCTGTAAGTACAAACAAGGGGAAGGATGCCGCCTTTGCTTAGGAGACACTGTTCTTTCTGGGGGAGCAAACCAATGGGTGCTCTTGGCACCGAGGCCAGGCCTCATTTAAGGAGGCTGTGTGCAGAGCCTGGATCTGGTCAAAGAAACATTGGCACGTAAAATAACTGATAAACATAGCATCTCTCTTGAACATCTTCATATTTCCCAAATTCTACCTTCCTGTGACACTAGAGAGAGATTCTAAAAAAAAAAATTTTAAGTTGTTGCCTGAAAGCCTGGGCTTTTCAAAGTGTTTATGGATGTCATTTCTTTATTTCCCAGGTTATATTGCCTCCCTCCCTAGCCTCATCCCTCACAGACATGGCATGTTATCCTTTAAGATCAGATCAAGAAAAAAAAAAAAAAAAGATCAGATCAAGAGTAACTGGGTGGGGCTGTTTTGAAATTTGACTTATAATTTACTATAAGTGATTACTGCAATCTGTTATACAATTATCTGGAATTAAGGTGCCCTGTTGGCATAGTGGTTACATGCTGGGCTGCAAACCCCAAGGTTAGCAGTTTGAGACCACTATTAGCCTAGTGAGAGAAAGACAGGGTCTTCTAGTCCCATAAAAAGTTCCACCTTTGAAAACCCACAGGGGGCAGTTCTACCCTGTCCTACAGAGTTGGAACCAACTTGATGTCAGTGTGTTGTTATTGTTTTTGAGAATTTGGAGTGATACTATTACTCTCTGGAGCAGTTCTTTCATGAACAGTGTATAGCATAAGGAAGGGACCATTTTAAACCAATCAGCCAACCAACCAACCAACACGTTCCACAGTGTCTGTCGGGTGAACATTTCGAGAACATCAAAAGTGACCCTGACCCACCTGCAATCTCGTACCACGTCGTAACTATGAACGTCTCCATGGTTGTAACCACTTCTGTGTGTTTTTGAGAAACTGTGACAAAGAGAGATACGTTTATGTCAATGGCAGGGCAGCATGTGATAGTTAGGTTTGTTGTGCCAACCTGGCCAATAGGAACATGTGGGTTTAAGCAGGTCACAGTTTGAATGGAGGGCAAAGAGATAAATGGCTCTGCAAGGCCTGCCCACCCCCTCCTTGCTCTCTGGTGATCGGACTAGCATGCTGGAACATGCTGCTGCTTTAGCTAGTTCTCTGCCTCAACTTGTGAGCTACCCTACCTGTGGGCCAAGCCAACCCATGGATTGTGTAGCTAGAGCTTGAGGCTCCTTTGAGACCTGCTTCACTTAAGCTTGAGGCTGGAGGATCCTGCCACCTTGCATTGCTTCTGTTCAATATCTCATCCCTGCCTGCTTCCCTAAGCTCCTGAGCTAATGACTTTTGGTGACCCACCCTGCTGTTTGCTGTCTGTGGGAAGACTCTCCTTGCCTTGCCCAAGGGAGGACTCTGCTATCTGCTTCCTTGACCTTGGACCCGGCATCTCACACAAGTTAAAGGACTGCCAGTATCTTAACTGTTCCATGGAAATCAATTGAACTGAACCCTTTGCACTGCTATGTGGACTAATTAGCTGTTATATTCCTTCTCGCAGTATAAACCTCTCTCTCTTTCAATAGAGATAGATAGACATAAAATCATAAACATCCTGGTTTCGTTTCTCTAGAGAACCCTGCCTAACACAGAGCACCTGACTGTGTAGGCTTAAGGCTCCTCAATGAATTAGCAACTAAGGAGTGAAAAAGAAGAGGTGTGAAAAGCAAGTGGAGGCGAGTGCCAAAGTTTAGATTGTCTTGAGACTTCCGTCCTCATTCTAGTCATCTTGTTTTTTCCTTCTCTCTGAAACTTGTGTTGGGACAGGCAGGATTCTACGATTGAATCCCTGCTTAGGGGGAGACAGGAGGCTGTAAAGGTTGGGTTTTCTTCTCCCTTTTTCTTGACATGTTGGAGGAGCAGGAGACCCACAGAGCAATGAATGATCACCTTTAATATGACCGATTGATTCTCTGTTAGCATAGCTTGCTTTAGACAATTGACTTCCCTTTCTTGTATTGTGACTTAATAACCAAAGTTTGTGTTCTTAGAAACTCCACCCATACCTGTTGTTATTGAGGGACAGGAAGGTTCACCCTCAGGAAGAACATCAGTGCTTGATTCAGCCTCTTCTTTACCTGGGGGAGAAAGTAGCATTTTTGTGAAACTTAAAGATGGGGTGCTCACATTTTCCCTTTATCCTTCATCATATGGGTCAGAAATCTTGGTGCAACCAAGAATCTTGGTTCCAGGCACTTCTTTGGGGTTCCACATCAATGTCACAGAGTAACACTCACATGGCCACTGTAAAGCAGAGTGAGAGGGAATTCTACCCTGACCTTGACTTCCCATGAACCTCTTAGAAACTCTATCTTTCCATGCTTGCTGCCAAACCCTGATTTCACCTTTGAAATGGGTAACATCTTTGGACATGGAAATGTCGGAGCAAATGGGTCATAATAATAGAAATATGACTGAACCATCAAATGAAGTTGAAATGTACATTTATAGAAATGACATCCCCTAGGCACCCCCCACCACCAAAAAAAAAAAGAAGAAGAAAAAGGAGTGGCTGCTGATGCTGCTTAAGTACAAACAAAGATTCTTATGAATTTGGTTCTTTGATTTTGATGTTTAGGGTCAAATGCCCATTAATTGGGCTATAACAGGTTGAGTGTTTCTGCTCAATCTCTTAGTTTGCTGATTAGTGCATAGGGGTCTACATGTTGGCTATTCAAGACACAGCAATTGGTCACTGTTCATCTGGAGCAACAGGGAAGGTTAGAGTACTAGCTGGTACCCAGCTACCATTACTGAGCATTTTGATCAAAGGATCTATAGAAGAATCCTAATCAAAAGAGGGGAAATGCAGAACAGAATTTTTAAAGTCATTGTGGACTACATTCTTCCTGGAATTCATGGAGACTGGATGGACTCCTACAAGTATTGCCTTGATAGAATCCTTAAATTGTAACCCAACATATCCCTCAAAGTCTTCTTAAAATTGAACAATAGTTTACCTTCGCTAGTTAAAAATGCCTATCATGCTATTTTAAGAGCTGCCCATATAGGATCAAATTTGCAAAAGCAACTCAAAAGATCAGGTAGGAGCTTTCAAGGGCAGTGAATGCATATTAATGAAGAAGGACAACACAGAAAGGGAGGATGAGGATGGTTGCACAAGTTGAAGAATGTCATCAATGCCACTGGATTGTTCTTGCAAAACTGTTGAATTGGTGAGTTTTGTCATGTACTCTCAAAAACTACCAAAAATTTAAAGCATAAAAAGACATAATAATACACAAAACAATAGCCTCTTCTTTGTATGTCTGTGTATTAGCACCCTCAAGACACCTTTTAGCTGGCATACACTGGGGCTCTGACTGCCTAGTTAGTGGTAGAAATGATGATGTAATGGCATATAATCTAGTTAGATGTTTTTCAGAGAGCATGTAGATTTAGGGATGACAGCAATGTTCTATTTTACACTTTTGTGCAAAAAGTCCTTCAAAACCGTATTAGCATATGGTCCTGATAAGACTACTTTACGATTAGAAGTGTACAGATCAATTTTTTTAAGTGTACACCTATTCTATCCCTTTTTGAAAGGAAGCCTAAGGATTGACTAGAATTTGAGGGCTGAGCATTTGCCTTCTCAATCAAAACCATAGCAATACTGGGATAAAAATGTATTAATAAGAGAATAAATCTATGAGTATACCAAAGCAAGATTCAGTGCCACCAGTAGATCAGAAGATTTGAGAGTCTTTGAAGAAAAGTCCTCAGATTGAGGAAGAAAACCACAGACCAAAATATATGCTAGAGAAGAATGTAGTAAAAAGTGGCAATTATGTTGAGGATACTCCACATTCAGAGGAAATAGATTTGAGGAATAGGGAAGTTTCTAGGAGTTCCTCAGAGGTGCATACGATTGACATGTTCAGCTGCTAACCCCAAGGCTGGCAATTCAAGTTCACCCAGAGTCAATTTTGAAGAAAGGCTTGGTGGTCGCCTTCTCAAAGCCTGCCATTGAAAACCCTCTGGAGCACAGTTTTACTCTGAGGCACCTGAGGTCGTCACCTTGAGTTGAGATTGATTCAAAGGCAACTGGTGGAGGTGTAGAGAAATTCCTTGGGGAATGACATTGAGAGGAGCTATGTGGTCTTCCTCATTGGGTCAAGCAGCAAGGACATTTGCCTCTGGCCTAGAGCAGCAAGTACGGAGTGTTGAGCTGAAAAGGCAGGGCAGGGCTCTGGGTGACCAGCAACTCTCCGAGGTATGGGAGCCTATCACAGAAGAAGATATATTGACACAACCTGGCTGTCAGTGTGCCTTGTTTCCCCCTCACATCCATTAAGGCAGGCTTTCGGAAAGAAGCACCGTATTCCCGAAGAATCCAAGAGGAGACAGAGGTTGTAAGAATTGGCGCTGATCCAAGAAACCAATAACTCTTACTGTTCAACGTAAATAACTTTTTAATTGTAGAAAGTTTGATGTGTGAGTCCAGATGGTTTCACAGCGAAAATGTCAGATAACATCAGCAGAGCTGGGTTATGTATTTACATGGGTGAGTGTGTGCATATGTGCTTGCTTAAGTAAAGAGAAAGGAAGTCGATGGATGCTGAGGTTTTCCTCCTCTTAGGTCAAGGATGGTCTTGAATAACCCCATCTGTTGACCCAAAAGACATGTTTAAATATGTGTTTTAAAAATACACTGTAAACCACCAGAAGAATAAAAATAAGACTAATAATGTCCAAGCCACGAGAGGAAAAAATGAAAAGATAACTCAATCCAATAAAAAGTCAAATTTAAGCAGAAATTATAGAAAGAAAGAGAAATAGAACACATACTATAGGGTGTCAATGGTTAGTCTAGTCTACTAGGACTTTAGGCCCTACCCTTTCAAGGTACACAGCATCCTCCTTCATGGACCACACCAGAAGGATTTGATGTGAAAATCCTACAAAGCAAACTGGGTTTTAACTCAAACTCACCTGTAGCAGATTTAAGGAACTGACCTACTCCCTGGTCTTAAGCTGACATGTAAGAAGAAGCAGATGACTGCTCTCCCAAGGTATGGAATTAGCGGTCGTTGGACTTTGGTTTGGATCTCTTGCTTTGAAGATGCACAATTCATGGTGGCCCAGGTCTACCATATATTTACTATTTTAATGTCTTCCTTGCTACTAATGACATGCATTAGTCTCATAGACATGGTTCTTCTTTCTTTGTGAATAAGTGTTATTAAAAGTTATGCCCTATCACCATCCCCCATTGTTTGTGTCAGTACGTCCAGTCACATAAGAGCTTAATCAATATGAAGTCAACAATTCATGTATTGCAGTCTGAACTTGGCCTATCCTTGTACAATTTCCTTTGCTTAGTGTTTTAAATTCTATATACCATGGGCTAAATTAATGACACTATCAATAAAATTACCTTATGCCCAGGCAGGTCATTATTAATGTTCTCTATCATAAAATGATAATGCTGTCTCTAAAGTGAACCAGAGACATATATGAACTATAGATATATTAATGGATTTTGGGCTTGCACTTAATTCTACTTCTGACCTAAGAATAATTAGTTCCATGTGTTTTAATCAAAGGCAGAATTGATGCATTCCCTAATGTGCTATATAAAAATAATGTAAAATTCCCTAGTCCACATACAAAATTTCTCATTGGTGGCTATTAAAGGAGTAGCTTTATTACAACATCAATTCAGCATCCCCAGCCACAGTGTACCAGCTGCCTACTTCCCATCTCTCACTTACTTTCCTTTTCCATTCATTCAAAACCAAACCAAAATGAACTCACACTTAATTCCAGCCCAATCTAAGAATAATTTGTTCTATGACAAAGCCTTGCTTGATGTTTGATCTCATGAGGAAACCACTGGAGGCGTGGGTGCTACAGCAAAAGGGTGGTGAAGACACAAGATCGTGCCCGACTATCAGACAGAATAGAAACTGGGGCCTTAAAAGTTTCTCTTCAAACAAGCAGCCATATAAGTGGGGTGGCATCTAAGTCTACGTGGAAGAAGCGCATCATCCTGGGTGATCCAAAGATTATAAATAATAAAATCCAAATCAGATAAAGGAAGTGGTATCAGAGCTTAAATTGTGAATACCCAATCGCCCAGCCTCAGGTTCTAGCAGCTCAGGCAGCGGGCAAAGCTTTGAGACAGCTCTAGGTGCCCGAGGTCCCAGGCATCTTGCAAGCATCCTCCCCACAGCCAGATGCCCAGAAGGAAGGTCCACTGCGCTAAAGGGATGATGAAGGAGCCCAAGAGGAGATGGGTGAGGTTGTCAGGGAAACCTTGGCCTCTAAAACTGGAGATGAAGCCAAAAAAGGAGGCAGGAAAGGATACATCCTCAAACAAAAAGTGAGGAGAGTCCAGCCTTTGATGGAGCAGGAGAACAAGAAGCCAATTCTGATTAATGTTTATGTACCCCATCTTATCTGTGGGCCCTGTTATCTCCCTTCTTGTACCATCTAGAGGAATATTTTCATCAACTAGTTTGTAAATGCAAGTTTTTCAGTAGCTCTAGAAACATTTTTAAGAAGGGGGAAATCCCATTTTATCCCATTTTTATGCCTTTTGAGATAATTTACTGATTGTTTATTTTTTGGTATAACCAAAAAATAGTGGAATGTTGAAATGTGGGAAGATTTGACTGCCATGGGTGTCAATATAACACTCCATGGGGTGGGGGGTGGAGGGAGTTGTGGGGAGGTTGCATCCCTAATTTAAAACATGCTTAATGGTAATTTGGAGTCAATGTCATGTATTTGTATGACTTGCATGTTTAAAATATTAAAATTCTGTTTCCATGTCTTTTTTTTCCCCCAGTAGAATTGTGTCTGAAAACCATTCTATCAAGGGGAACTGATCACAATGATCAATGTATAAGTGTTCTCCCCCCACCCAGGGGCAAACAACAGAAAAGTGGGTGAAGGGAGGCATCGGACAGTGTAAGACATGAAAAAAATTATAAATTATCAAGGGGTCATGAAGGAGGGAGGGTGGGGAAAGGAAGGAAAAAAAAAAGAGCTGATACCTAGGGCTCAGGTAGAAAGAAAATGTTTTGAAAATGATGACGGCGACAATTGTACAAATGTGCTTGACACAATGGATGAATGGATGGATTGTGATAAGAGCTGTAAGGGCCCCCAATAAAATGATTTAAAAAATAATAATAAAATTAAATTTTATAAAAGAAAACCATTGCCTCATCATTGCTTTCTTGTCAGAACTGTGTGAGTTCAGTAACACCTTTGTGAGAGTCCAGTTTTCCCGATAATTTTGCTGTGTGCTGTGCAAGGTTGAACATTTGAGTGTGTAGTGTGTGTGACATGAAATTGTGAATTAGTGGGACTTAAGATGTAGCAGCGTATCAACATTGGAAGATAATGGTACTTGAAAACCTCTTAAAGAAAATTTGCCTCCAAATTTAAAGCTGGAAAGTTGCTGGAATTCAGGATTTTGGTATATGCATTAAGAATTGTGTATAAATTGTTCACACTGTCTCTGTACTGATCTCAAAACAACCAATAAAATGCCAATTACAAAAGAGAAAATGGTTAATCTCCCATTGCAGAAGGGGCTGGATGACAGTGGAAACCCATTTCCCATTTCCAGGGTCCCCACGTGGATTAAGTCTCCGATCAATCCCCTCTGACCATAGTCCAGGGGTGGGAACAGCCTTGCTGTCAAACACAGCACTGCAAAGTTGATGACGGCCAATGTAGTTAGTTTAAAATGTAATACCTTATCATTTGGTCTCCCTTTGGGGCCACTTTAAAGTTGTTTTGGTTTTTAATGTTTTCTGCTTTAATTTCAATTGAGGTCTTTTCTGTGTTTTGTCTAGTCATTGTAGTTGTTGTTTTGCTTCCTGTTTGTGTTTCGCTTGATTTTCTGTATATGAAATCAAGGATAGGTAAATCTATAGAGACAGTAACTTGATTAATAATATGACATTAATTATAATGAATAATATTGCTGCTTAAATAAACTAAATCCAGGCTGCTGCTGTGAGTTGAGTGTTGGGTCACTAATTGTAGCTCAAACTCCCCAACTGCTCTTCAGAAGAAAAACGAGGCTGTCTGCACCTGTAGAGATTTACAATCTCATACTTAAACTGCACATCGTAGCAAGGAGTCAGAATCGACTCTGTGACCGTCGAGGATCTTGCCGGATGGAGGGAAAGTGTTGCGGACTCAAGGTGGGCGGCACGTGCCTGGAAACAATACCTGTGTCCTTGGTGCAGGTGAGCCTGGGCTGTGTCCACCTTGCTTTCCCACAGATCAGTCTGCAGGTGCTTTCGGCGCGGCCTCTCTGTTGGACCCGATAGCCCTCGAGGCACTGGTATTGAATCGTCTGCCCCACCATGAAAAAATAGGTCTTCTCAATGGCTTCATGTTCCCAGGACGGAGGCTCCCCGCACTGCCCTACAAGAGGAGAAGAAAATTCTGAAGGTCAGATGGGGAAGATGCCTCGGGAGCGAATCCAAGTCGTCTCTTTCTGGAGACCAGTGCCCAGTTCTTGTCCTTTTGTCCATGTTTTTCTCATTCAGCAAGTGTGCATGGAGGGATTTTCTAGGCAGGATGGGATGAAAAGCTTTATGGCTCAGTTGCTCCCACGGAGGTGGTCAGTGTGCTGATGGAGGAGCAGCCAATCGCTTCGGGAGCACAGGGAAATGAATGATTAATTCCTGATTGGTGCTACCCAGAAGAGAACACATGGAAATGTGACAAGGGTGGGAAAGGCGGGTCTACGCTAGGAGTGGGAAAGGCGGGTCTACGCTAAGGGGGGAGGGCAGACTCAAGTGTAGATTCAGATTCAGTCCAATGAAATGTGAAGCGCTTCCGGGCTTCTCACTGGACACCTGAGCCAGCACCTTCTCCAGCTGTGACTGGTGTACCTTTTGAGAAGAGGGGAGCAGGGCTCCAAAGCCAAAGCCCCCAAAAGGGAAGAGCTGAGAGAATCTCAGAGCTGGACCCTGATCTCTGATCAAGCCAGGCCTGAAAGTTTGATCCAGATGGGCCCTGTTACAGACAGACAATTCTCCATGCCCAATAACTGTCTATGTGCCCCACTAAAGCCCAGGCCTGCTTGAGGTTTAACCCTTGGAAATACATCCTGTTCTGATTGTCTTTCACTTTTAGGACCTATTACATTTACATCACTTCCATGTCAAAGCAGCCCTGGGCCAGGCTGTCACCCCTGAGAGTGGTGTGAGTTGCCAAGAAACTTTGGCAAACACAACAGAACAGCTCTGGCCCATGCGATAGCCTTCGAAAGGGGGTTAAAATGATGGGTTCAAGATACGTTCCTTCTTTGGGGAACACTACAGCCTGTACATGCGAGATGAGGGGCGGCCTCTAGGAGTCCAACAGAGCACTAGTTTGAAATCTCTCTCTTACCTGGAAGGTTTGCTTGTTCCAGGGACACCACTTGACGTTCCATTTCCGTGGGTTTGCTTTCTTCCTGCCCTTCAGGTGGAGGTGTAACGGGCTTTTTTGGGCTCCCAGGGCCTAGAAAAAGGTGTGGAATGAAGCAAATAACTTCCCAGATATACAATGGATGTACAATGATAATAACGGATACAAGACGTTACAGAGACTGTAGGGGTAGGGGATGGGTCATAGGGAAGGAAAGGGGAGTTTGCGAGTAAATAATGAAGGCGGGAGTGGGGGGGTGGGGGTGGTGGGGTGGAGATTCCTGGAGCTGATCGCGATGGCACAGCTTATTTTGCCAGCGAATCAACCCTGGGCGAGCGGCAATGCTCTAGGATAGTGACTGTACAATCCCTCCCTTGATGTGTTTGAACGATTGAACTGTTCAACTCTATGAGATGTGGCTTGTGAGCCAATAAAATTGTTGAAAATGAAGAAAACTATTCATTGATTTATTCCCTTAATAAAGATTTCTGTCTCGTGTCTGGGAAGCGCTGCTTACAAAGATGACCCAGACGTAGCTCATACCCCTGGGGCACTCTCAGGGCGGCTTGCTGTCAGGCTGCCTGTCACTGGCCTCTTGATATTCATGTGCATAATGAGAAAGCCTACAATATATCTCAGAAAAAGATGAATGATTTTCCTGGTGGCAGTGTGTGTGTGTGTCCCCAGAAGGATATTAATTCTTCCCATTGATTCTGTCAACACTGTGCATAAATATTTCAGTGACTGCAAAGAGGAGTGGGCTGGCTCAAGGACCCACGGGTTCCTTTGCCCCTCTAAAGCAATGCAGAACTTTAAAAGTTCAAGAGCGAGAATCTTAAAGCAGTGACCAGAGAACTTGTGCTCTGACGTGCCTCTGTTGTGGTGTTCGGCCAAGGAGTTGCATACGGCCAATGTAATGAGATGGGAAACAGAATTGGAGCTTAGTGTGAGGGCAGGAAGGATAATGAGATGCTCCTAATTTTACATGGTTTGGGAGGAGCCAAGATACTGAAGCTCACCAACATCATATCCTAGGCTACAAACCCAAAAGACAGATAGCCTATTCACTAGATTGTAATAAGCATACAACGAATGAGAGACCTGTATCAGTAGGAAAGGACGTTTCTCACAAAGAACTTCTAGGATTACAGGAAGAAGGTTCAACAGCAAAAACCTGGTATCAGATAAACTCAGATTAAGAGGGGTAGTTTTAGAAGGTGTACTGGGGAGTCGTTCAAGGAAGGCGGTCTACCTACACTGTTCAAGCAGGTGGCCTTGTTGACTCTGCTGATCTTCACCAGCAACCATAATGTTTGGGGCACCAGGTCTTGGTAGCCCCTCAGATGTTCTTTAGCCCTTTTATATGAACCAGTTCTGCCTTCTCATCTGTCTGAAACTCTTGGAGGGCAGGCAGCAAGACACATTATCAGCCATCCATTGGCGACCGTGCCAGGTGCATAGCAGGTGCTGGGTGCTAGTTGGTGGCTTGGGGAAGGACATTTGAAGCAGGGGTTTGCAACCATGGCTGAGAATCCGCATCGTGGGTGGGCTTCTGTGTCCCACCTCTGGGGATTCTGATTACTCAGCATCAGGCTATGATTACTCTGTGGACAAGCATGCATTAAAAATATATATATATCCACGGCTGATTCCAATTACATCAAGCCTCTGGGACTGTGGAATACAGCTCTTATGCCATAGTTGATGTCCTTCTAGAAAGAAGTTACAAGTAAACTACCTATTTGAAATCCTGTTTTCCTTCAGCTAATTTTGAGCCCAAACACCTGTTTAATCTGCCTGTGGGTTTATCATTTTCCTCTCTCTCCTTCCAAATTCTACCTTCAGTTTTTCCTCCTAGCCCCCAAAAGACTCTAATTAAACTGGGCATTAAACAGCACACTTTTGGGGTGTGTGGGCTCTTTGAGCGCATTCCTCACACTCAGGAATGCCATGTTCTGACCCAGGACTGGGAAAAGCCCTGGACCCACAAAATGCTTAGCAAAACTTTCTCCTGGATTATGTATTTTTTCATCCCCCAAAGACATCCCTGAAAGGTCCCACAGAACCAAGGGTGGTTACTATTGGTAAGAGATAAGACCTTACCATGCAAAAGCATAAGTCTGCTTGCTCCCTTCTTTTACTCAGTAAGAAGAAAATGCTTCTCTTATCACCTGAATTGTTTGTTGTTGTTGTTTTTTTGGCCTGGAACTTTTTCCATAGAATTTCAGGCTGGTCTTTGAAAATGAAATGGGTGAAGGGAAAGAATGAGAAGTTCTTAGGAATTCACACTGTCATGTTGTTTGGGGTAGAACTAGGAAATAAATGGTATAATACGTCTGCTTTGGAAAACAAAAATGTTCATTCAACTTTTTTACAGATCAACATTTTCCACCAGAACTGTTCTCAAATAGTCTTGTAACTTTTAGTGTCATTTCTTCTTCCACTTGCCCTCCTGAAAGGTAAACGTCTTGAGAGCTATGTCTACTGTATGTTCAGGGTCTAAGGAGTCCTTGGCAACTAATAACCCAAATCTGTCCCTGTTGAGTTGCTTTTGACTCATAGCGACCCTACAGGACACAGGAGACCTGCCCCAGAGGAGCTAATAGTTATCTGCTAACTATTTGTTTACTGAATACATATTTCAGGGAATACTAAAATCAGTTAACATCTGCAAATATAATATACTGTTAACTTTTCTAAAGGAAAGTAGACCAGCCACATTTGTCTTTAGGGCTAAGTGAAAAAAAAAGCTGAACTTTCGTGTCAGTGTATCTCAGTTTCCCTGCTCTTGGGAGTGACCAAAGGACGCACTTACCAGTACTTATGCATCGACATTTGTTTTCCCACGAGGCGTGACCAGGAGATGCGGTGCACACAATGTATTCATTATGTATTCTGCGAAAGCCTCTCTTGCATTCACATGCCAGCAAGGTGCCATTTTTGTACGTGTGGGCTTTGTGGGTGGCGTATTTGATTTGTGGAGGATCCTCCGAGCAAAACTCTGCAAGCAAACATACTAGGGGTTCAGACATTTTCTGTCCAGCGTTCACATATCAAATCATTGAATGATCGGATCACATGGGCTTCCCGTTCTTCAAGAGATCTAGACACACTGTCCTTTTCCTAGGCGAGACGATGGCTGACACTGGTGTTCTTGAGAGAACCTTTTCGGAGATGGTTTCCTACGTGGCTCAAACGTTAACCCAAATGAATAGAGAAAGGGAAACCTAGAAGGTTGAAAGGGTAGATGGGACAACCAGGAAACAGATGTCTGTAAGATAGACCTAAACCCAATTATATGATCATTTACATTAGATGTAAATGACCAAAGTACATTATTTTAAAAGGTAGAGATTTTAAATATGGATAAAGTAGCACGACCCAACTACAAGCATGTCCTCAAGAGAATATACTTTAAATACAAAGATAATGCTAAGTTAAAATCAAAGGATACGAAAAAGATATATCATGCAAAAGTAAAGACTGAAAGCTCACTTTTGCATAATCTCCATAATCAAATACTCAATTCTCTTCTCCCAACTCTTCACCAGTAAATGAAAATCAGTAAGGTATGTATGTAGGCATTATGAACCAACTTTATAATTGTCATTTATGTCCAAAAAATGCAGAGTACTTATTCTTTTCAGGTGCACATGGGATGGCTATTGAATTAACCAAATCGTGATTCAAAAATGTCTCCATAAATTTCAAAAGACTTAAATCTTTAAAAAAAATAATTTTACTGGGGGCTTGTACAAATTATATCACCATCCATCCATCCATCCATCCATCCATCCATCCATCCGTCATGTCAAGCATATTTGTACATAAGTTGCCATCGTCATTTTCAAAACATTTTCTTTCTACTTGAGCCCTTGGTATCAGCTCCTCATTTTGCCCCCTCCCTGCCCCGCCCTCCTTTCCTTGTAAACCCTTGATAGTTTATAAGTTATTATTATTTTTTCATGAAAAGAGTTATATCTTACAGAGGATATCCTTTGACCACAAGGGGATAAAAATTTAAATAAATAAGATGTTTAGAAAAACCCAAATGTTTGAAAGTTTTAAAATACAATTTAAATAACTCACATACATCAGAGAGTAAATCACGAGAGAAGATAGGAAATAGTTCAAAATGAATCATAATAAAATTACAACCTATCTAAAACTTGTGGATGAGGTTAAAGCAGCACTTAGAAATTTATCATGTTAAATAATGTTAGAAAAAAAGATTTCAATGAGCTATGTTTTCACTGTAAGAAGCTAGAAAGCATAAGCAAATTAAATCCAAGGTTGTAGAAGAAAATAATAAAGATTAAAAAAAGAAATGGATGAAATATAAAACAGGCGAACAATAGTGAAAGTTAGCAAAACCAAGAGGTCATTCTTTGAAATGATTAATAAAACTGACAAACTCTTAGTAAGACGGAAGAGGGAGTGGGAGAGACAGAGAACAGGCAGCCAGGACCAGAAATGAGGCTCTGTAAATTCTCCTGGCACAAAAGGATGATGCAACCCTAAGAATACTTTGAGTAAATAAACTTGATGACTTTGATGAAATGAACAAATTCAATGAAAAGTAATATTTGCCAAAATGGACACAGGAAGAATTAGAAAACAAAATAGCACTGTCCCAATGAAAGTAGTTGAATTCATAGCAAAAAACATTCCCAGAAAGAAAACTCCAGGTCCAAATGGTGTAACTGATTAATTCCACCAAACATTTAAGGAATAGACGAAGCCCTGCCCAGACTGGGTTAAATGTAAAGACTAAATAAAAGTAAAATAAATAAATAAAAAGGTAGGCTGGTGATTCATTCCCTCTGGAGTTGTTTACCTAACTTGCTTCTTTCAAAGTTGCTTCCTATAAAAGTAACTGTCGTGGGAAGCATTCTAAGGTAGAACTATTCAAATCTGGTCAAGCCCGTCTGTACAATCTGACTCATACCAGGGAGGAACCCTTTTGTTCATTTACATAACTAGTACCTGTTTATGCAAACCGTTTGAAAAAGTAGAGGGGACATGACACTCTGTAATCCATTTTATGATCCAGCAAAACTCTGACTTTAAAACTTGACTAAAACATTGCTAAAATTTACAAATCAACATTCTTTATGAATATAGATGCAAAAACACATTTGAAAAGTATTTACAAATCATATCCAGAAAGATGAAAAAAAAAGAAACATTGTGACCCTGTAGGATTTCACTTAGACTGGTTTAGCATTACCCAACCAAGTAATATTACACATTACAGTTATGAAATAAAGAATGGAAATATCAATATGTTCAGAGAAAATGGAAAAGTCTCAAATAAAATGATTTTAAAAGAAAAAAACCAAAAAGCTCTCAACAAACTAGAATAGAAAATCAAAATCCTCATACTGGACCAATAGGCAACATCATGATAAACGGAGAAAAGATTGAAATTGTCCAGGATTTCATCTTGTTTGGATCCACAATCAAGGCTCATAAAAGCAGGAGTCAGGGGGTCAAACAATGATTGCATTGCATTGGGCAAATCTGCTGCACAAGACCCAAAAGCAAGGATGTTAATTTGAGGACTAAAGTGTAACTGGTCCAAGCCATGTATTTTCAATTGCCTCATATTCCTATGAAAGTTGGACATCGAATAAGGAAGACCAAAGAAAAATTAATTCATAGGAATTATGGTGCTAGTGAAAAATATTGTCAAAAGCATAAAGAAATCTGTCTTTGAAGTAGTACAGTCAGAATGCTCCTTAGAGGCAAGGATGGTGAGACTTTGTCTCATATACTTCAGACATGTTGTCAGGAGAGACTGGTCCCTGACACCATACTTGGTAAAGAGACAGCAAACAAGAGGAAGGCCCTCAACAGGATGGATTGGCACAGTGTCTACAACAGTGGGCTCAAACACAAGAACAACTGTGAAGATGATACAGGCTCGGGCAGTGTTTCATGCTGTTGTACATAGGGCCACTATGAGTCTGAGTAAATTCAGCAGCACCTAACAACAGCTTGCTTGCTGAATGCTTGAAGGGGTCTTTTGCAGCTGATTTGCCCAGTGGATAGCAATCATGGGTCCAAGGGGAATGAAATTCTGGACAGCTTCAATTTCTTCACTGCTTTTCGTGATGCTGTTCATTGGTGTAACTGCGGTGAGTGATTCTGTCTTCTTTACGTGGAGACGTAAGGCCGTTGTCTTTCACCTTCATCAACAAGTGCGTCCAGTTTGTCTTCACTTTCTGCAAGCGAGGTTATGCCATGTGCATATCTCAGGCTGCTGATCCATTTTCCCCCAATCCCGATGTCATGTTCTGTGCTCTTCTTAGATCCAGGCCTCTCTCTTATTTGTTCAGGATATAGATAGACTAGGTAAGGTGAAAGATATAGCCTGGCCCCACAATTTTTCCAATTTTAAGTGACACAATATTCCCATTTTCTGTTTCAACAACTGCCTCTTGATTCATTTCCAGCTTCTGCATGAGCACAATTAATTGTTCTAGGATACTCATTCTTCACAATGTTATGTAAAATTTGTTATGATCCGTACAGTTGAATGCCCCTGTGTATTCAACAGTCAAGAAAACACAGATAAACGTCCCTCTGGTGCCCTCTGCTTTCAGCCAAGATGCAGCTGACATCAGCAAGGATATTATCTCCTTCCAGCCAGGGTGCAGTGTAGCAACGATGAAAAACTGAAACATACAACTTTCCTCTTGTTTCTAAATGCTTCCTCCCCCCGCACTATCATGATCTCAATTCTACCTTACAAATCTGGCTACACCAGAGAATGTACACTGGTACACATAGGAACTGGAAACACAGGGAATCCAGGACAGATGAACCCCTCAGGACCAGTGGTGAGAGTGGCGGTACCAGGAGGGAAAGGGGAAGGTGGGGGAGAAAGGGGGATCCGATCACAAGGATCTACATATAACCCCCTCCCTGGGGGACAGACAACAGAAAAGTGAACGAAGGGAGACATTGGACAGTGTAAGACATGACAAAATAATGATAATTTATAAATTAGCAAGACTTCATGAGGAAGGGAAAGGGAGGGGGGAAATGAGGAGCTGATACCAAGGGCTCAAGTAGAAAGCAAATGTTTTGAGAATGATGAGGGCAAAAATTGTACAAATGTGCTTGACACAATGGATGGATGTATGGATTGTGATAAGAGCTGTACGAGTCCCCAATAAAATGATTAAGATAAAAAAGGATATCATCTTCTGAATCCAGCTTGACTTCCTTGCTCATGTATAGCCACAGCAATTTTTGAATTGGTTCCAGCAAAATTTTGTTAGTGTATTATATTAACGATACTGTTTAATAATGCCCATCTTTTGTTTGGTCACCTTTCTTTGGAACGGGCATGGATATGCATCTCTTCCTGTCTGTTGGCAGCATCACTGCCTTCCAAACTCTTTGGCATAGATGATGGAGCCCTTACTGTGACATCTGTTTGTGGAAGCATTTCCATTGGTATCCCACCGATTCTGAAGTCTTGTTTTTTTGCACAATTTCCTTTGGCATGGGTTGCGTATTATAGATACAAACACAAGAGCATTTAAGAGATAATAAATACAAATTGCTTCTCATGTAGAGGTAGATAAAAATTTCTAGAAGTGAAATTAAATTTACTAATTTAAAAAATGAAATAAAAGTAAAGCTTTGGCTTCTCAAAGTACTAGGAAAATGAAAAAGCAAGACATCTATTGGAGAAAATATTTGTAACATATAACCGACAACAGACTTGGGTCTGGAACATATTACACATACACATATATGCTGCAAAAAACTACTGAAAGGCAAACAACCAAATAAATAAGTGGACAAATTCTTAAAAGAAGATGGATTGTTGTCAATATGGGTGCTCAACACCACTTCAAGGTAACAGTAATTGAAAACCACCAAGAAATAGCTTATTAGAATGGATAAAACATTGAGAATATCAAAGAATACAGAGATACCAGAACACTTAAATGTGGGGTGCAACTAGTTTAGAAAGTTGAAAGTTGTTTTTTTAAAAAAAATAAATTTAAGCATA